CGTCCATGGTTCCAAACACATACATAATAAAAATAACTATAAATATATATTATATAATGCAAATATATTCATTTATAATATATCGATAATATAAAATATATAAATATATATATATAAATATGTAAAGCAGTCGATTCAATTAACTACCAAATTTTATATTAATTAACCAAAGCACAATAAGTATATTTGGTATTTTAAAAATACCGAACCAGAACCAAACCAATTAATTCAATTAACCAAAAATTTTAGTTCGATATTGTCAATTTGATTCAGTGTTTGGTTTTTCATGATCACCCCTACCACAAGCTCTCAATGGTTCCATGCTATGTACTATGTGCCTCACCTCACCCCTGGTTTTGTGGCATATAGTGTGTAAAGTGTTAAGTGAGCATTTCTTCTAAACAAAGCCCATTCCAATTGGAGTTCATTAGGGCAAAGCCGTTCCAACAACCTTTATAGCCTTACATTGGGAATATCTCCGTATTGTAATTTATTTGATGGGAGAGGAGCTGCTCGAACAATGCGAGCACCAACTTGCCTTGAGAGAAGTCGAACTCTTCCAATTGACACCACATGCATCCGCTTGTGTAATACACCCCTAAAAAACCTAGGTTTCCATTGTGGATGGAGCCTTGCCTCCCATAATGTGTTATGAACACCCCACCCGGCAGCGCACTACGACGCAGTCATAGGCAACAGCACGCACAGCGGGCCACCCAGTAGCACGCACCGCCCGACAGCACGCAGCACGCACTGCCCGGCAGCGCGCAGCACGGCAGCAGCACGCACCACACGGCAGCAGCATGCACCGCACGACAGCAGCACGCACCTCACGGCAGCAGCACTGCGAGACGCGCGCACCGCCCGATAGTAGCAGTAGGGCGGGGCCCACATGACAACTCATCAGGGTGGGCCCACACTTATCTTACCGCATCAGCTCTGCCGCCAGGTACACCATTCCTCATCCCTTATCCTTATCCTTATCTTATCTTATCTTAAGTAAGAGTTGTGTTACCATTAGAAGTAGGTAATTAGGAGTTTGAGTTTAAGTTGGATTACCCTAGCCTAGCCGAATCCAACAAGGAATTTCCTTCTGTAATCTCCTATTTAAGGAGCCACGAATTGAAATAAAGCATTCAGTTTTCCAGTCAAGAAAATTTTGAGGAGAATTCGGTTGGTCTCTTGGACAAATCACCCATTAGGAGAGTTCGGGTGGTCTCTTGGACAAATCACCCATTCGGTTTTTCACAATAGGTTCTGCACGCAAGGGAAGGCGCAAGGGAAAGCAGGACTTTCTCCCCATGGACCGACCCGTGACGAGATCCTACGCGCGGGCCCATAACATAATGGCTGGATTTAGATTAATTTAGTAGATCTTCCCCTTAAAATGCTTCCCACAACTCACACAAGTCTCTCATTTGTTCTCCAAATCATCACAAATGTACTTGAGTTTGCATTTATTTGGCTATAAATACCTTACCAGTGTCCAATGAATAACTAAACTTTGTTACACGTTAAAGGAATAACTAGCGAAGGGGGCCCTGTGTTGCAAGGGCTCGGTCATAAACTATCAAGCTTCAGCTCAATTTGAATTATAGACTTGAGCTCGAGCTCGAGCTCGACTCGAGTCAAAAGCTCGAAAATTCGAGCTCGGCTACCTTTGATTGCAGGTCTCTCAACAAATTGAGGTGTAAAGCTGAGGTTTCCCTCAATTGCCGAGGTGCCAAATCGTGATCTTCCTCAACTGCTGAAGTGTTGAGCTGAGGTTTCCCTAGTAGGTGAAGTGTCGAGCTAAGGTCTCCCTTAGTTGACAAGGTGTCGAGCTAAGGTCTCCCTCAATTGTCGAGGTGCTGAGCTGAGATCTCCTTTAGTGACTGAGGTGCTGAGTCGAGGTCTCCCTCAGTGGTCGAGGTGTCGTCTAGCTCGAGCTTGATTCGAATTAGAAATTGAGCTTGAGCTCAGAAGTTCGAGCTCAGCTCGGTTTGAACTCGACTACCTTTGATTGCAAGTACCCTAGCAGCCAAGATGTTGAGATGAGGTCTTCCTCAGTTGGACTAAGAGTGGCATTCTTGTAATTTATAAGGAGAAAGAGATAACATTCTTGTAATTTGCAAGAAAAAGAGAGAGGGAATTGGTAGGAGAGAAAGTGACATTCTTGTAAGTTGAAAGAAAAAAAAGCAAGAGAGAGAGAGTTGGTAGGAGAGAGTGGCATTCTTGTAATTTGAAAGAAAAAAAAAGCAAAAGAGAGAGAGAGAGAGAGTTGGTAGAGGGTAGCATTCTTGTAAATTTTATGAAAAAGGCAAAAAATACTGTTAGATTCCATTTTCCTCATCCTTAAGCCTTCTTACGTACACATTTCAGCTTAATATATTTACTAGTGGAGGGAGCCCTGCATTGCAGGGGCCCATTCGTAAACTATTAGGCTCGAGCTCGATTCGAATTAAAGACTTGAGCTCAAGCTTGAGCTCGGCTCGAGTCAAAAGCTCAGAAGTTCAAGCTCGGGTGGTACCTTTGATTGCAAGTCTTTCAAGCAGCCGAGGTGCCAAATTAAGGTCTCCCTCAGCTGCTGAAGTGTCGAGCTGAGGTTTCCCTAGCAAGAAAGGTGTCGAGCTAAGGTCTCCCTTAATTGACAAGGTATCGAGCTGAGGTCTCCCTTAGTTGTTGAGGTGCTGAGCCGAGATCTCCTTCAATGATTGAGGTCCTGAGCCGAGGTCTCCCTCAGTGGTCGAGGTATCGTCTAGCTCGAGCTCGGCTCGAGTCAAAAGCTAAGAAGTTCAAGCTTGGCTACCTTTGATTGCTGGCCTCTCAAGCAGTCGAGGTGCTGAGCCGAGGTCTCCCTCAATTGTCGAGGTGCCAAATCGAGGTCTCCCTCAGCTGCTGAAGTGTCGAGCTAAGGTCTCCCTTAGTTGACAAGGTGCCGAGCTAAGGTCTCCCTCAGTTGTTGAGGTGCTGAGCCGAGATCTCCCTTAGTGACCGAGGTGTCGAGTTGAGGTCTCCCTTAGTGGTCGAGGTGTCGTCTAGCTCGAGCTCGATTCGAATTAGAGACTTGAGCTTGAGCTCAAAAGTTCAAACTTGGCTTAGCTCGAACTTTACAACATTTGATTGCAGGTCCCCCAGCAGCCAATATGTCGAGTTGAGGTCTCCCTCAGTTGGAGAGAGAGTGACATTCTTGTAATTTATAAGGAGAGAGAGAGAGAGAAATGGCAAGAGAGAGAGATGCCATTCTTGTAATTTATAAGGAGAGAGAGAGAGAGAAATGGCAAGAGAGAGAGATGCCATTCTTGTAATTTGTAAGAAAAAGAGAGAGAGTTGGTAGGAGAGAGAGCAACATTCTTGTAATTTGAAAGAAAAAAAAAGTAAGAGAGAGAGAGAGTTGGTAGAAGAGAGTGGCATTCTTGTATTTTGAAAGAAAAAAGCAAAAGATATAGAGAGTTGGTAAAGAGTGGCATTCTTGTAATTTCTATGAAAAAAGGCAAAAAATTAGATTCCACTTCCCTCGTCCTCATGCCTTCTTACGTACACATTTCAACTTAATATGTTTATATAGATATAGATATAAATGTTTTGTATTAAACTGAAACAAAGGAAATTTACTAGTGGAGGGTACCCTGCGTTGCAGGGTCTCACTCATAAACTATCAAGCCCGAGCTCAATTCGAATTAGAGACTTGAGCTTGAGCTCAAGCTCAGCTCGAGTCAAAAGCTCAGAAGTTCGAGCTCGATTACCTTTGATTGCAAATCTCTCAAGCAGTTGGGGTGCCGAGCCAATGTCTCCCTCAATTGCTAAGGTGCCAAATCGAAGTCTGCCTCAGTTGCTGAAATGTCGAGCTGAGGTTTCCCTAGCAGACGAGGTGTTGAGCTAAGGTCTCCCTTAGTTAATAAGGTGCCGAGCTGAAGTCTTCCTCAGTTGTCGAGGTGCTGAGTTGAGGTGCCGAGCCGAGGTCTTCCTCAATGGTTGAGGTGTCATCAAGCTCGAGCTCGATTCGAATTAGAGACTTGAACTTGAGCTTAGAAGTTCGAGCTTGGCTCGGATCGAACTTGATTACCTTTGATTGTAGGTCCCCTAGCAATCGAGATGCCAAGTTGAGGTCTCCCTGAATTGGAGAGAGAGTGGCATTCTTGTAATCTATAAGGAGAGAGATGACATTCTTGTAAGAGAGAGTGAGATTATTGTAATTTGAAAGAAAAAAAGCAAAAGAAAGAGAGTTGGTAGGAAAGAGTGGCATTCTTGAAAATTGAAAGAAAAAAAAATGCAAGAGAGAGAAAGARTTGGTAGAGAGTGACATTCTTGTAATTTTTATGAAAAAAGGGTAAAAAATACAGTTAGATTCCATCCTATCTTTAATGAATCTCTCTCCTTCCGGTTTGCTTCCRATCTATCCATCACATCAGTTTTCTGCTATACAATTCAAGAAACGATCAAGAGTTACTAAGCATATATGCACATCTCCAAGGGCTAAAACTCCACAAAAAAAGCAGAGGCATAAAAATCAAGTAGAAATAAGGCTATTTATTGAGTTCACAGAAAGCAAAACTCAGCCAAATCAGTACTTACACAGCACATCTCCCACGATCACGAATCACATGTACGCGCATATCTTGGATCCAACCACAGCCAACACCYTCCTTTTGTACAGAGAATCGTAGTTGTGACCTAACAGGGGGAAATCCAGTAACTCTCCTCACAACAACTGCAATTTCTCTGTATACAAAAGGAAGGAATGGGTCACATCATCTGATCCTCATCTTCAAAGCCTTTATATGAATGGAGAAGGAAGAAAAAGGTACAAATCTCCTCCTACTATTTTTGGTGAAGGCCGCAGATTGATTATATATACAAACACAGATATGGACTCATCCGTTTTGGATTATGAAACCTAGTACGGAAAGAATTCTGGTTAAACCGTTCGGGCCGATCCGCGTTTGTTACAAACCGGCCGGTTTCAATCATCTCTAAAGTCTAAAACCCTAAATAAACGGCTAAACCCTGAGTCCCCCCCCAGTCCCCACTCCCTCACGAGCGACCGACGTAAAACCACAATTCTGCTGCTATCAGTCGCTGTAACAGAGAGAGAGAGAGAGAGAGAGAGGGAGAGGGATACTAGAGAGGGAAGAGACGGAGAGATTTCTTTCACTGTTTTGTACAAACTTTGGTCGACGAAAGCGTTGGAAAGATGGGGGCGGGGAAGGATACGAAGCATGACTACGAGTCGCTGCGCGAGCTTTTCAAACCTCATATCGATTCTTTCGATTACTTCGTTGATGCCGGGTTGGAAACCATGCTCATGCACATCAAACCTGTCGAAATTGTTGATTCGTTCACCAAAACCAAGCTTCGAAATATCCTTTTCATACACATGATACATTCACGCCCTTCTGTCTCTCTATTTTTTTTTTCCATTTTGATTGATGTTTTTCTTTTGTTGTTTCTTGACTTAATCGTACTTTGGTTTGGTAAGTCTGAATTATATCCTCCACAAAAAGAAAGAATTTCCAAATCAATCCGTGATCCTCTGTTACCATTCGAGGTAGTGTTTCTCCTTAATTTGTAATAGTTATGTTCCACTCTTTCTTCTATTCTACAGGATTTTCATATTAATATCAAGGGTTGATTTTCTTTACCATTTTTTTGTGGATTGCAACAGTGTAGGCAAGCTGGAATTTCATATTCTGGTAAATTCATGGTGGATGTTTGCTTCCAATACAATAACGGCGTCGTCGTGAGAGAGAAATTTGGCTTTGGACAGCTCCCTATAATGCTAAAGGTTGGTCAATTTAGTGTTTTAACTTCATTTCTAAGTGTCCTCAAATTTTCTCTTAATTTGTGCCATGCTACATTTGAAGATTGAATTCGATTTTTCAAAAACTTATAGGTTCGCAAATTCTTTTATGAGCTTGCAAGTTTTGTTACAGCAGTTTGCATTATTAAATCGATAAAACGGGATTGTTATTTCATTTATGGATCATCATGTTTGTCCCAATTTCGTTGGAAGGTCCCAAAAGTGGGCTGGTTACGTTTGTTATGAAATAATGATGTTACTTGCTACCATTGATAACGCAGTATTGAATTTATACAGACGGCCTGTTTGGGAGGGCTTAAGCTTAAGTTGGGATGCTTAACAATAACTAATAAGGAATCACTCAAAAAGAAAGCTACCAAGGAATAGTAGTTGGAAAGAGGCAACCGACACTTGATGAACCTGGTGCTTCTGTCATTATGAAAAGATGATGGTGGCATAAAAGGAGTGGAAATTAATAAAAGGAAGAGAGAAAAGGACATTTCTGTCTTATATGGGAAGTTTTAAAGTGAATTACAGAGAGAGCTGGGGAAAGCTAAAAAAGAGAAGCTTGAGGTGAGAGCCTTTCTGACTTGGCTTTGTGTTTTCCACCAAATGTTGCCTTTTGGCTTTCTGTTCCTTGAAACTCATGCAAGCTGAAAAGCAGGGGTGTTATGGTCCTCCCAAATGGCTACCTAGGCAAATGTTTTGGCTGATTCTCTTGCTAAACAAGGGATCTCAAGGGTTTCTTTGTACTGGGAAACTTTGTAAACTGATTTCTGTCTGGTTTGAGTTTTGTGCTTTCATCTTTAAAGAAGAGGTCGCATCTCGTGCCTCTTCTTAGGCTGTTTGTATGCTTACTGTTTCACTATTAATATCGATTTCTTTCATTTATAAAAAAACTATAGTTACTGATGAATTATCTAGGTCAAAAGAATTGGCTGACTCCACAGTTTACAAGTTTTTCATTCTATTACCATTCTTTAGATGCTTTTTATTAGCAACACTTCTGGCTTTGCATGTGAAAGGACAGATCACGGAAGACTCAATGTATTTTTGTTGAAAGCATTGTTGTCGAGTGGCTTGTTCATTGTTGAAGATGTTCCATATCAGTGATTTAAAAGGCATGCCTACACACACTTCAAGGAATGTACCTTGTTAGGTGCAGACATAGCCCCTTTCAAAATGAACCACCTTTTTTCTCATAAATTCAAAATGAACTACCCTGACTGATATACATCAATAATTGCATCCTTGTTTCTTTCCTTCTGTACAAACACTCATGTGTTCTTTTCCAACCATATGGTCCAAATAACTACAGCCCCGGTGCATCTCCACATTATATCCTTCCTCTTTTCTCCTTCCAAGCTAGCATAGGGGAAAACGGGGTTTACATGTTGTTTGGAGGATTCCATCTGCACCCAAAGAGAGAGAAAAGCCAAACCCAAATACAAGAAACTAAGGGATAGGAGATTACCAAGTGAAAACATGGCTCACCATTGCCTTGCAAAGAAAACAGCAATGAGGAGACAAAACAACATGATGGTCGCCTTTTTTGAAGTAAATCACAAGTATTAATTTTCTCATTTAAAACCTCCCAAGAGAAAGCTATGATTTACTGGGGCATATGACCATGCCAAATCTCTTTAATAGGAAAAAGCTGCACCACGGGGGAGGGTCAGTTAACAGTTAGAAAAAGGAAGCACAAGAGGAAAGACTAAAAGAAGAGGGAGTCTAAACCAATGATTTAAAAGGTGTGCCTCAGGCGAGGCGCATTTCAGGGTATGCGCCTCGCCTAGGTCCTAGGCGCAATCCTTTCAAAAGGCGCGCCTGATGCGCCTTGCACCTCAGCCCAAGCATGCRCCTTTTGAAAATTTTTTGCTTTTTTGCCTTTTTTGAACATACCCCCGGCCCCCCGTGCCACGCCCCTCGAGGCAAGCCTAAATAAGCTCCGAGAACCCCCAATTCGGTAATGTTGTTCATTCATTCATCCTAATAAAATATCTTCTTAAAAAGCAAGTAAAACTATAAAATCACTATTTTTTGTGTAAAAACTATGAACTTAAGACCTAACGTGGACTTACTTAGGCTTGCCTCGAGGGGCGTAGGACAAAGGCGGCTCGTAGAATCAGGAACGTAATATGTTGTACATTACATTAGCTACGTGAAGTAATGCAATTGAGTGAAAAAAGAGATTAGAGGTTTTAAATGCTTGAAAATGTTTTATATGTTTGATTTTATTTTTAAATTCTCATTTGAATATGCTTTACATAATTACATCTTATATTTATGTATTTTAATTTTAGATAATAGGTTTTTTAAAATTTAAGTTTATATTTTTTATTAATATTATCTTTAGTGTTTTTTTATTTTTTTTTTGAATTTTTTTTGAATTTTCTGACATTTTTTTTTGATTTTGTAGCATTTGTTTATAATTTTGCGCCTTGCTTCAAAAAGGCGCGCGCTTTGCCTCAAAAAGGCACGCGCTTTGCCTCAAAAAGGCGCGCGCCTTGCCTTGCGCTTTTAAAACATTGGTCTAAACCCAACAATGGGACTTTAAAGGGTCCAGGAAAATGCCTTCAAGGATTTGTAAAAGTTTAAGCACACAAGGAACCTCTGAATGCCTTAAACCCCTTTTGTAACCCAAATCGCATTCAAAGCCAAGGTTTGCATACAATATTATAATAGTTAAATTAAATAGGAAATATTACTTGCAAAGTAGGTATTGATTTTTCCAGATGAAAAGAAGCCATTGTTAAGTGTTGTATTGATGGATCTTGTTACTTGCTCAAGATTTATAGTTTCTACATTGTTTGTTGTTACATTGCTGCATTTCATTTATTTATTTTTGATTGCTTTTCATATTATTTTAATTCGAGAGACATTTTTACTTATAATCTTTGTCATAATCTAACTGCTTGTGATGAGGTAAATATTGTGTAAGAAGAAGATAACGTTTAAATTAAGGATTGTATAAGAGAATCATTGAATAGCTTGGCATGTTTTGACCTGACAAAATTTTTAAAGCTTAGACTCTCTGTATCTTTTACTTATCATTAATTTGCTCTTTCATTTGATGACTTTGGTTTGTTGTTTGTGTAGTCAAAGGTTTGTCACCTGAGAGGTGCTGATCCTCAAAAACTGGTATCTTACAAAGAAGAAGCAACAGAAATGGGTGGGTGAGTAAACATATACAGCAATACTGATGTTTTCCAACTGTAGACTGCGTGATGCTATGCATGCATGCTAGCATTTGGAGCTTTAATTGGTGGTATCCTGTGTTCAAGGTTCTTCCTATTTTCTTGATGAAGCTATGATGTTTCTTTAGTTGTGAATTTTGGGTTTCCAAATTTCTAGGGTTTTATAAAAAGGGGCAGCCTAGTGCATGAGGCTCCCACCAATGTGGGGTCTGGGGAGGAACAGATGTAGGCAGCCTTACCCCTACACATAGGGAGAGGCTGTTTCCAAGATTTGAACCCTGGTCACCTAGGTCGCAATGGAGCGACCCAACCGTTGTGCCAATGCCCGCCCTCTCTTGGATTTGATAACAAGAAGAAAATATATTAGGAAGAAGATCATGAAGAAAGAAAGATGAAACATAGGAATGAATGTTGCACTAGCCAAAGAAGCCACCATCATGTTCACTAGTCACTGGAGCACCCACTACAAGAAGCAGCACAGTATTCTAACCAGCCTCATGCATTTCACATAGAAGGAATTTATTAAATGGAAAAATTGATTGTTAAATTAGAAAAGGGTCAGTTGAAAATATGAATTTAAGCTTATTATGCTATGCTGTTGCATGCTTGTAGAGTTGTATTTTTGGTAACATACATACATATATATCATAATTACAATAATGCCTACATTATTTTCTCGATCTTCTTATTGATAAAAAGAAAAGGTGTACAATTGGTATATGAAAAGAGTGCTAATGACTTAATATAAAAGGAAATATTCTGTCATTTCCAAAACTTCATTACCCCATACAATTAATGCTATGTTTGATTCCTTATGGTTCTCCCCTTGATACCAAGGAGGAAGATCATATGTAATGCTTGAGAACAATGCTTCTTTTGGTTGATCTAGGAAGAAAGAAATTTTTTGGGTTTCTCTGACTGACAGAAAAAGGATAGTCCTTATTATTCTCATCACCATTAGGGTGGCTCATTGGATATGTGCCAAAGAGGCGTTCTGGGATTTCTCCACTGATGAGGGGATGGGCATTTATGGCTTCCCCTTTTGCCTCTTTAGAGATTGCAGCCTATATTTGGGAACCCCCTCCCTTGAATCCACCAATCTAAACTTTGACGCGTGTTCTTTGGGCAATCTGGGCACTTTTTTTTTGATAGTTAGTAAATGGTTTTATTAAAAACTCAACAATAACAACTTATACAATGAGCTTTCCACAGAGAGGCACAAGGCACAGCCTCAATTACAAAAAAACAGATTACAGTTGAGCCCAAAATAGATGATACCTATGTATCCCTTGCTTAGCTAAATAATCAGCTATTCCATTAGCCGATCTCCTTTCCTATTGAATTCTTACAGTCATATTGGAGGTCAACCTGGGCACTTCAAGTATGGAAGTTGTTATGTGGCTATATTCTCTTGGTCTACATATAAGGGTGTAGCTAATTCTTTTTGACCTTAGCTCTCATCCCTCCTAATCAGTGTTGCATGGACTCTCCTAGTGGATGAATTGTTTGTGTTAGACACCTGTTGGGTTCTGACACTCCACGGATTCTTGTACTTCAATATAGCAATTTCCTTATGAACTTGCTTATTTGGCCAAAAATAATAGCTAATATTAAAGACAGCCTTGGGGCTGTGTTTTGTTTTATTTTTAGGAGCTATAGGTGTTGGGTTTTCCATGCAAGTCGAGTTGCTGGCAGTTTTGTATTGTTTAAGACTGAGCAGAAGGCTGAATTTGAGAAGCATAGTAGTGAAGGGTGATTCAAGGGCAATAGTGAGTTGGTTACAGGATAGAAGTCAAGGAACATTGAGCAGAAACATACATTAGGGGAAATTAAGCAATTGATAAGGGAGAGGATTGTGTCAATTGTGTGGTTTTAGACTCTTTAGATCAGTACACTTGCTAAACAGAGCCCCAGCAAGGAGTATATGTACTGGGGATCGGCAGATGAAATATAGCTATAATTCTGAAATGCAAGTAATGGGATTAGGTGGTGAAAATCCAGCCTAACAGAAAATACATGCTGTAATTGACATTAATTCTTTTGCCCCAATTAATTAATAACATTGTTATCCATAAAAAATGAATAGCTAATATGCAGAACGAATGTCATGATTTCTAGAAACTATTATTAAGTAACAAAGTTAAAGCTGTAGGTCTTTTTATTGGTATATAATGTTAGAATTTGAAAAAGTATGGACTATTTTGATAGTTTGTACTTTGTGCAGACATATTTACGGCTTCCTGTTTTTTCATCTTGCTGAGTTAGGCTCCCTGATACATGTTGGATTTTGATTCAACATGTCCATGGTCCATGTGTTCCTAAGTCCTAATCCAGTGGAACAAGATTGCCTCTTGTAAAATTGATAGACATGAGATCTGCTAGTGTCATCTGCCAAGCTGCATAATTGGTAATGATCCCTAATAGCCAGAGGGAATATCTTGTTTTGCTGATTTAGTGAATTCTGGTTGTTCACATGGATTTTTCTTCCCCCCCTCTCTCACTTCTTCTAATGATCTATCTCTTTGTTGTTTGGTGGAAAGAAAGCTATCTGCTTGCTTTTCTATCCATACTCTTCATTTCTAATCTCACCAAACCCTTCCACTACATAAAACCCACCAGCAGATCTGAAATTTGTAGGACCCCTATAACTAAAGAAATCCTCCAACTGCAGACCTTTTAATCTACGAAATGGGGATGCAACTCTCCATTTCCTTAAATCCTGAACAAGAATATGGCTATGGGTTTCCCATGCAATATGCTTATATCAAGAATTTATATGTAGTTTTGAAACTAAATGTCATTTTTGAAGACTTATGTTAATTCTATAAAATACATATAGAAGTATCCATTGCAGTATCTGATATCATATCTGACATCAGTATGCTAGGCATGTCTGCATATCCGGGTATCATATTATATAAACATGTTAGCATGAGAGCTTGGATGAACCCTAGGGCCTGCAACCAAGGCCCTTGAAAAATCATTCAGCAACTTGCGGCAAAGCATGCAAATCAACTATGAAGCAGCTAGTAAAACATCCCCCATTTTATTTTGATGGTAGTTTGAACAAGGATTGAAATATTTGATATATACGCCCGACACAAGGTGTGTTGTATCGCTATTGCTGCATACCGATACATGAGATGCTATGAACAAGGGCACATCTAGGGCTGTCAATGGACTTTGAAAAATCGATACCTGATTCGGCTATGAATTTAATTATCCTGGATTTGGATGTTAGAACTTGCATCCATTTAAATAATTGGATTAGATGCAGATCAAATCCCATCCAATTTGTTTAAAATTTGAGTCTGATAAAAAAGTATTCCTTTATGTATATATGTAGTATAATTATGTATATAGAAAGATATTATGTATAATTTATAAAGTTCAAACTGACAAGCTTAATATTTTTGCATTTATATATATATATATTTATTATACATATATAAGATAAAAGTAATTTGGTTTTTTTAAAATTTATTTAAATTTTTGGTCATTTTAAACACAATAACATGGTTGTAGATTAAATCCAAATCCGATTCAAAATCCAACATGATAATTGGATGCAGATGCAGATGCAAATCTAGAGGTTTCGTAATCGGATGCAAATGCAGATGTGGCCTGATTTGATCCGAATCTGATCTGTATACTGCCCTAGATCATCCCTTGAGTTCTGCGTATTGAGCTGATACGGGCACATATTGGTGTGTATTGCATTGTATCGGTCTGGTATGTACTGATATGGACCAATGCATATCATCGATACAATGCATCTATGCTGAGTCTCTTTATTAAAAAAAATGCTGCTAGTGTGACCCGAACACAAATCACTTTTATACCCAAACCTTAAATGCTCCATTTAACCACCAAGCCACCTTGGTTCTTGTGATAATAAATGAAATAAGTAGCTTTTATTAACTTTTGTATCCATATGCAATCAAAACAAATACTTATGTTTATGTTCAACAACTTACTTAAAATTAAAAAGAATAATATTCAAATTTGATATTCCATAAGCTAATGGAACAAATAATCTATCAAATCCACATTTATATCAAAAAATGATTTTTAATCTCAAGAAATTTATACAAAAATATTAATAATGGACTAATTTTTTTAGCACTTAAAATTTATAAATTTGCACATGATAAACATCTTAATTTTTTATATATTTTTATATTAATATTAAATGCCAACATATTTATTATTTATAAAAATAAAAATATTGTTTACAATATTTTCAAGAATATAATTTTAAGTTGTATCTATCAAATCCACTAATCCACATTTATATCAAAAGTGTTTTTTATTTCAGAAAATTATGGATCAATAATGGAATAATTATTTCAGAATTAAAATTTATGAATTTGCATATGATACGTATCTAAGAAATTTTAACAATTTTTTAAGATATTTATTGTTTACATAAATAAAAATATTGTTCACAAACATTTGACAATTTAATATTTAGTTGATTTTTTTTGTTAATGTTAACAAGTAAAAATAGCTTAATAAAAATAATTGATATGATAATTAAAACATAATAGTTGCATATATTTTATGCCTTAGTCTTAAATAGAAAATAACAAAATAATGGCTTTGTTTTGTATAATATATGTCTTGGACTCTTGATTGATGCATTATTAGCAAAATTTTGAAATCTATATATGCATCACACTATATTAATTATAATATATTTCTTGATATATATTATTAAAATATACATTCCTGTGCATTTATACATTATTTATGGCTATTTTGACACCAAATTTAGTGTTACTAATGTATTTATGGAATTTGTATGTATTCCCTAGCATATCCAAGCATTTCCATTTTTTTATCCATATTCATGCATTTCCAAAGAGTATTTGTATCTATATCTGAGTTGTTTGATATGATGCCTGACACCGATACTTTGATCCTTTTGTCTGAATGACAGCATCTTCTTATCCCCCACTTCCTTGTTTTAGAGCCTTGTTACTCCCACTAGGAACATAGTTGACCTCCAATTTCTTGAGATTTGGGGTCATCTKTGATTTGGATTCTTTCTTTTGTTCTTATATCTCCAAACTTTAGATGTTTCATCCATTCGCTAAATTGTATTTATATAAATGTGAATGCATTGAAAGTGTTGGAGCTGTAGGTTATAGTGCATAACAGTAAAAGTTTTTGGACCTCTCTAGTGTTGCTGGACTTTTAAATGCCAGATATATTGTTATAAATTCTATATGATAGCACTTTTGGCATAGTTACATAATTGTTGCTCATATTACCTCTTGTGTACTTTTCCTGTCTTTTCTTCTTTTTAATAAAACCTTCCTAACTATAATAAATAGTATTTTGTATATTGATAAAAAAATAGTATTTTTGTACCATAAGTTTGCATGATCAAAAATGGTATTTTGTATATTGTAATTTAGTTATTTTGTTTTTATTTCTATATGATAACACTTTTATACATGGTTAGACAATTTTTGCTCATTTATTTCTTTTATACTTTTCCTATCTTTTCTTCTTTTGAATAAAACTTTCTTATTACTATAATAATTGGAATTTTGGATTGTAAATGTGCATAATTTGCTTTTCATTTGCTGATTGGAATTTAATTATTTTGTGCTTATTTTTGTCTATTACTCTTGACTTTGAACTTCATTCTTTATCTTTCTTGGCATAACATTTGTTTTCTGTCTTTCAGTTATTTCATCTTGAATGGACTGGAGCGACTTGTTCGACTTCTAATTATGCCAAAGCGAAATTATGTTAGTCAACTTTTTTTTTGATTGGAATTATGTTAGTCAACTTTCATCTTAATCAGATACTTGTCATCCAGTTAGGCCTTTAGTTATTTTGTTAATCCATAGAAAAATCTGAGATTCTCTAGCACATAATGTGCACGATTTGAAGGTATTTCCTTCTTTTAGTTTTTTTCCCACTAATTTGATGGTTGAATTGGAATTTAATTTTACAGCCAATGAGTATGGTGCGGAATTCATTTCGTGAGCGGAGGGAAGGGTATACGGACAAAGCAGTTGTTATAAGGTGCTTTTTGTTGTTTTCTATTCATTTGGCTGATGTAATGAAAAGTTATTTGAATGGTATCATGTTATCTTTTTGTTATGCATGTGTTTCTTTGCAAATGTCATGATGAACTAGTGGTAATATTGCTTTCCAGAATTTCTTCTCATTGCTTCCTTAAAGTGTTAATGTATCCATGTACACTAAGGACCTGTTGTATAATGGGGACATAGAAACTGTAGAACATATATTATGTTCTCAAATGCTACTAAAAACCCAATACCAAATTTTGAACTTTTATTTATAAACAAAAAAAATACCGCCATTATCTCTGTATTCCCCATGCCCTCCTAAGAACAATTTTTTATCATGCTTTTGAAAATATGTACATTTGTTTCATTCCAAATAGTCCAGAATACATCAAAGAGCACAATCAACAATAGTTTTCTCCCTATTCTTTCTGCCTTTCAGGTGCGAACAATTAAATATTCTTCCTCTTTCACCTATGTGTTTGTTGACATGCAATGGTCTACCGGGCATCCATGGACAAGTGCATCTTTCTCAACCCGAGTCTTAGTCTTATTAACTTTCATAATGCAGCAGATGACTGCATAATTGCTGATCCTGGTTCTTCCGTTCTCAATGATACAACACCCATGACAAACCTCTTTGAGAATTTTTTGGATAGATAAGATCTTTGAGATTTTCTACTTAATTTTATGTCACGGAGTCACTCAGGATTTCAAATAAAGATATTAAGATTGGGGGGGGTTGTGGGGACTTCTTTGAATTACTTTTTATAGAAATCCGTGAATACACTAATTGATGTTTCTAACATGATTTCAATTGGATAGATTTTCTACTTAATTCCACGTCACTGAGTCACATAGGAATATAGGATTTCAAATAAAGATATTAAGATGGGGGGAGGGGGTTGTGGGGACTTCTTTGAATTACTTTTTATAGAAATCCATGAATACACTAACTGATGTTTCTAACATGATTTCAATTGGAGGGAATTTCTGTAAAATATTCTGGAATTTCTCACCCAAACAGCACATATTGTAGCCAATGGTTGATTCTAAAGGCATGGTGAATTGGCTGAAGAAAGGGGAGGGAATTATTTGGCAGTTAAGGAATGAGTTCAGGCGCTTCAAAAAAGCTTCTCAAGACATGACAATTCAAATAAGATGGATTAGAAGATCAGCTAACAGCATGGCCGATGGTCTAGCTAAGCAAGGAGTTCAAAGACAATCTATGTTTTGGGCTATGTTCTAGTTAGTAGGAAATTTCTGTTGGGTTACCCTTTTGGCTGTGTTGTAATTAAAGGGGTTGTCTTTTGGGTTTGCTTGGGGCTGTGATGTATTTAGTGGGACAATGTGGACTGCTTGTCCGCCCAGAACTTCTTATTGTACTTGATTTTCCTAATTAATGAATCTTCTCTGTGTTGCTGATAAAAAAGGTTGATTCTCGAGATGTTATCATTTAAGTGTTTCCTTAATTGATTGAGGGAAAAATACCATCTAACACATTGTTAAAGAAATTAGGCCATGACAATGTGCTGAACTGTTAATTTAGAAAAAATATGGCTGAAGTTTTTTAATTGTTATTTCATTTGCTAGATTTTTGGTGTATAATGTTTTTTAATCACTTAGTCTATGGTGTTCCATTTGATTCAGTTCTATTAGTCATGATAATATCTGGAACATGAGTTCAAGATTTCATGGATGTAGTGTCTCTTTTCTGTTTTTTATTTTAGGTGTGTGAGAGAAGATCAATCAGCGGTGACAGTTAAATTATATCACCTTCAGAACGGAAGTGCAAGGCTTGGATTTTGGTGAGTAATGCTGGCTTGTTGTTTTTAGAACTATGGAATATTTTTATTATTAACTTATGTTGTGTATTAGAATTGAAAATTTTTTTTTCCTTTGAAACTTTTGTAGGATAAGAGGAAAGGAATACTTGCTTCCTGTGGGCATTGTTTTGAAGGTTTGTGTTGTAAAATTGATCTATTTAGCAATTAGCATATTTTTTGTTCTTTGGTTTTGTCAATATATTTGTTTTTTTTAATTTTATGGTTTAATTGGTAAACATTTTTTCCCACTCATCCATCTTACCATTGGTATTCTTGCTATACTCATTTTTTTCAGCATGTTGTCTAATAATTGCTCAGCACTCTGCATGATGGAACATTACTGGTCTTTCTCACTAAAACATATTTGTAGGAACCTAACAACAGTCCTGCTAGGTGATAAATTGAGGGAATGCAGACTAAAATGTTTGTTCACATTTGGAGAAAACCATCTACTGTTCTACAGTTCCAGTGAGAAGAAGTAATGCATTCTGAGTTGAAGAGTCTAGAAGAGCTAGGGGTGGGCCAAAAAAGATATGGGATGAAATAGTGAGAAATGACTTGGGGGGTCCATCATTTCAAGGTTTAAAATGTCGATGTCGATGGAAATGTCTCTTACCAAAATATAGGACATATGTCGGAAATGTCGAGGGGAAATATTGTAAAAATTAGAGACATTGTGGAAATATTATGAAATATGTGGAAATATGCAAAGATATTT